GGGGGGGCGGGGAGCAGGCAAGGAGCTCTTGTGTGGAGAAACTATCAGATCGTATGTTATGGCAGTAAAACGACAGGATTGGGGGGAAAATGCAAGCCCTGTAACTTGGGCTGGACTGAAGTTCCTGTGTCCACGTGAAATTCAGTTCAGACCTGCTTTCAGCCACAGGCCACGTACTGGAAAGATCAGTAAGGGAGGATTTGAAAGTAAAACCAGCTCAATGCTTCAGGCTTGCTAGTGGATGAAGCAGGAGGAGAAATGTGGGGGAAGCCAGGCCCGAAACTCTTGCAGGAACACATCCAAAAGGTAGATGTATTAAATATCTTCTTGACAAGTACAAATGGCCCAATTTAAAGCCATAGGCTTCTGTGTATCTTGGGGTAGCAGGGGCTTGTTTGCCAGTCTCACTGCGATCCAGTTCTTTGAATTTGGCTCTAACTCTATTTGCTTAATGGCAAGGATTCTGCTCTGGAGGCCAAGACTGGCAAGGTTGTGCCTTCCTGCTCTTCTTTTTAATGTGGGTCTTAATTGATAGTGATACCATTTGCTCAGCATGCTCAGGAGCAGAGTTCTGCTGCAGTGGCTTTTGGGTGGTGGGAAGACCTGCCCTTGGTCCAAAAATGCTGGTTAGAAATGAAGTTTAGCAGCTTCTAGGTTGGCAGAGGCTTGAATGTTGTGCAGCTGCACCAAAAATGAGCCTGGATGTGGAAGTGGCTTGCAAGCAGCTGGGGGAAGCACCTGCTCTTGCTGGTTCTCTGGACCAGCACCAGCAAGCAGGAGGGGTTTGGTGTTTTTTTCCATGCAGAGGAAGCTTTACAAGAGCTCTGGTTGCTTAGGATGGTCTCAAAACCTTGATGCTGGTAGGCCAGTGCCTATGGAGGGTTGTGCTAAAGCAGAGCTGGTCTGGAGTAACCTCCCTTTGTGGTCAGGAGCTGCTACCTGAAGGGAAGATTCTCTGCCTCTCCAAGGGAGACCTTAGGACTTGGGGCTATGTTTGATTCTCTGGGAAGCCATGTTTCTTCTGCAGGCCTGTTTTCTGAAGTGATTGTGTGGCTGCTGACTTGGTCCATTCCCAGATGTTGTTCAGAGCTCCCAAACCTGGGTGGTAAAGTGAGTCTTGCTCTTCTGTGCACAGGAGGAGCTACTGTGGTTTCTTGTGGTGGCTGCCTTGACTGTGAGCATCCCCCTCATCCCCCAGTATCAGGAGGCTGATTCTGGGGAGAAGGCACATGCCTCTGTTAATCAGATTGTTGCTTTAGTGTTGTGTGCTGGAGAAAAGCAGCAGGGAGTTCATGTTAGCAACCAAACTAGTTTGGGTGCTGTGGCTATTAGTCTAAAGTCATCCCAGCCGTGGCGCATTGGTACCTGTTTGCGACTAGGGCAGTCCTGGTCTGATGTGCTGTGCTGACAAATTGCTGACCTGTTTGCTTAACTGTTTCTCTGATGCCAAGAATTGTACTTCTGTGTTGCTAAGACCTGGTGCTAAAGCTAATGTGAGTGTTGGAGGCAATCCAGACTTTCCACAATGTGTTGAAAGCTGAGTGGTGAGTACTAGCCTGCTTGACACTAATACTTGTTCTTTTTTACCAGAAAGAAGATACTGGGAGGAGCATAAAAGACTGCTGGGATAGCCCAGATGCCCCTGCACTTTCCACTTGCAGCAATGCAGATATATTTCGCCGAATAAATGCAATGTTGGACAACTCCTTGGATTTCAGTGGAGTCTGCACCACACCTGTCACAAAAAACAAACGTGACATCCTGCCAGGTGATATATTTGGCTGGGTTAGAGGTGAGCTTGAGGATCTGGGGCTGGTGGAGGGGAGGAGTTATGTGGTGAGACCTAGCAAACATGTGGTGGTGGCAGTCGTTTTTGGTTTGTGCTTGTGATCAGAGATGCTTGGAGTTGGGGTTCGTGCTGTTTTGGTACAGAGGGCTTCATTTCTGTGCCTGGAATGAATTACCCAGTTGTTCTCTGGCAGTGTGGAGGTGCCTGGGCATGTTTGCTTATGCTCCTTGTGATGCTGTGGGTCACTGTGCGGGCAGGATGGGAGCTCTTGCTGTCTGACCTGCCAACTTCTGGTGTAATAGTTCCTTTAGTTTGGCTCTCCCGGAGGCAGGATCAATCTGTTAGTGGTTAATACAGCTGATCTGCATATATTAAAAATGCAAAATAATTTTGAATAACTGTTTGCTACAGGTCAGTTAATTGTGTATTTAAGAGCACACTGAAGCAGTATGTGTAGGTGAAGACTTTGCTGCAGAGCAAGCTTGGGATTATGAAATCAGTGCTGGAAGTTCTTGCTTCCTGCAGGCTGAGGGGAGTGGGCATATTCTGCTGTCTTGCACTTGATCTGCCTCAAAACAGAAGGCTCTATGTCAAAGCAAAGAGTGTTGGGTCCAATCTTATTTTTGTGTAAGTGAAGGATGTGCTGCTTTTGTCCTTTTACAGTAGGCAAGATCTGCCAGTAAACGTACCTGCCTGGTGCCTGATGTTGCTCTTGCCAGTGCACTTCTGTGCAATGGTACTTGTGCCAAGGATTTGGACACTTGAGATTGCTGTTGCTCCTCCAGCCTCTGAATTACAGGGTCAATAAACACTTTGGCCAGTATTGGAAACAAACTGACCCTCTGGAATTGTCCCAAAACAAAGTGGGAAGTAAAGGGAAAAACCTCACCAGCTGGTGACCTTGCAGGCTGCTGTAGGCAGAGAAGTGTTCTCTGCAGTCACTTGGAGACAGGCTTGTCTTGTGCTTGTGGATAACCTGACAAGCTTTAGTCAAATGTGTGTAAAAAAAAAAAAAGGCTGTAAATGGGTGTCTGGGCATCCTGTGGGTCTGTTCGATGCTTGCACAGTGCAACTTTGTTCTGGACTAGTGAAATGACTGCTACCAGATGACTTCCAGTGCAGCTTAATCTCCTGGGTATTTGAAGGGCTTAGCACTGTGGACCAGGGGCTGATCTGGCCATGTGATCCTGTGCTGGCGCTGCAGAAATACCAGGGGAAGTGAATCGTTTGCTTCGAGGTATGGATCTATAGCCAGCATTGCTTGAAACGTGCCTAGTAAAATGGTATTGGAGGATATGCTGGCTACTCCTGAGCAGTTGCATAGTGAATATTAACTAATTCAGGTTAGTGGTGTGGTTAGTGCTGCACTTTGAAATCTACTGTTGTACTGAGCTGTTAAGACATTTTTTTGTCCCTTGGCACAGTGGTAGTCAGTGTTGTCTGATCTTGATGCACTGGAAGTGTAAGGGAGAAACAAACCTAAGTATTTTCCTGTATCTCCTTACAATGAGTTCATGAAAGAGTTTTTTTCTGGCTGCCTTGTTGAAATCTTAGCTGTAGCCCTTCGTATTCGGTTTATAATTTGGAATGGAAATGTTTCGTAATTAAGTTGCAGCTTACTTGCCCAAGTTAACATAGTTGATAAAGAAACTATCCCTGCCCACTAGAGCAGATTCATCCTGTGAAGATGTGTGTTAATTCTGGTTTTAGGTCTGGGCTTAAAGCTGGCACATCGATGTTAATTTGCAGTCATGTCTTCTAGACTTAGAAAGCTCTTCTTGGAGGAATGGGGGTATTCACCTGGTGATGAAATGAACCTGCTGCATGTAAATCTCTGCTTGGTCTGTCAGTTACGGTGGTATTTCTTAGGGATGTCTGGAGCAGAGGGTCTTGCCTGGTGTGGAGCTGCTGAGAGGTGGTGCCTTGATTGGAAACTGGGTGAATTTCCCTTCAGTGGTGTTAAACTGTGCTTGTGTTTCAGGCAATCATTGAGAAACTTCTATGGAAGACCTCTTGTAGGGCAAGTACAATGGGACTTGAATGTAAAAAAGGGAGGTTTCTTCTAGCAAACATTATTTCTGCTGCAGGGCAACCAAAGTTGTGTTTTCTGGGACATACTAAGCAGCTTTTCTTGTTCCTGATGTAGCAGTTGAGGCCAGTCTCGTGAGTGACTGCTGGCACAGGCACTCGTGTGGCTTGGGGACCAGGGTGGGAGCCCTGCTCAGCATTAGTTAACCCGACAGGAGGCTTTTAGCTTGTAGCGAATCCCTTGTGCAGTGGCACAAATGCTTGTGATGGCATGAGGAAAGAGGCTTGTTAGCTTCCCAAAGGATGCTGGACACCGCTGAGCCAGGGCTAGAAAGTGGCTGCCTTGGGTGCCCTCACTGTTAAGGCTGATGGGAACATGAGATCTTTCTCAGAAGGTGCCTCTGGGTTGTACAGGAGACTGATAAGTGTACAACCTGAGCTATCCTGGCCAGGCTAGCAGTTACTGGCTGTAAATATGTGGATGAGTCAGCATCTGCCAGTGCATCAGCAGTTCAGAGTTATTGGTCTACTTGCAGTCCCAGCCGTGTTTTGTTCGTGTCAGTCAGGACCTCTCGGTGGGTAATGAGGGCCTGAATGTAGCAGTTCTGCGAGCTTTCTTCTGTCTCTGGGTCAGGAAAGTGCATGAACTGCTTCTGTTGTTTAATGTGTTGCTAATGAGCATCTCCATGAAAAAGTTGGCACTGTCAGCAAGAATGGGAATCCTAGGACAGCCATGATCTGTAAATGGGGAGGTGCTTCAGCGCTTGGACCCTGGCCTAGGTTGTGGCAGTCTTGCAGAAATTCATACCTGATGGCTACAAGGCTGAGCAGCTGATTACTAAAATTCAGAATATAATGCAGCTAACTGCCCCCTGTGCTGGGCACATGGTTTAGAGCCTGAAGCAGGCTGTTGGAGCTGTTTGCTGTGCCTTTGTGTGAACAAGGTAAGGCTCTTGTGGGATCGGTGTCTTGCCTTCAGTGAGCCTGGCTTCTGGGTAGGTGACCAACAGAGCAGAGACACTTGATCTCATGCAGTGTCCTGTCACTGCTCCAAGGTAAATCACTTCTGAAGAATTCAAGAGCCTCTGGTGCCTTTACGCAGTGCAGGAACAACTTGTGTGTTGTAGTTAGGCTATATTATGAAACCTATAGCTTGGGCAGTCTTAATGAGCCTGGCGATCCACCCTTGATGTAGTAGCTATACCAGGTGAAAGGACTGTCTTTTTACAACTTAAACTCCTTTGGTGGGAGAGCTTGGGGAAGAGATTTTTATTCCAACAGGGGAAATACTTGTACTTTAATCTATTCATGGTCCCTCAAGCTTTTCAGTTGTCTTCCTTAGGTCAAACTAAATTTATCCTGGATTGGACTTGTGTTTAAGCAGCCCTTTTAGCATTAAGAGGCTTACACGTGGTGGAGAAGGGGTGGCAGAAGTTCGTGACCTTTCACTAATGCTATTGGGGAAACACGTGTGGAGACACCTTACTTTGTGTGATGAGGTGCGCAGCAAGACGGTGCTGAGAAGAGATCAGTACAGCAGCAGCCTGAGCAATGTGAGAGAACAAGCTTATTCAGCACTCCTGGCTTGACACAGTTGGAGAGTTATCCAGATCTGGGCAGAGCTGTGTGGCAGAAGGGACTGCCACTGGAGATTTAGCTTGCCATACCTAATGTTAAATCTCTGTAAAGATCAGTTTGCAGTTAATGATAATCCTTGGTGAACTTAGTTGCCTCATCAAAGTGATCTGAGTGGTCAGGCCTAGCCTGACCACCGCAGTAGTTCAGGGGCGCTTGCTCCAGGAGTTCCCCAAGCACTGGGCTTAGGTTGCTAGCCCAAACCAGAGGGCACAGTGCAGCAGTGTGGTGAAAGCTCTAATTGTAGAACCTGTCTGGTAGCTTCTGGGACAGGATCACATGGTGCTTCAAAACACCTACCTTTCAGGCTGATTCAGGCCTCTCTCTCTGAAGAAAGGCAAGACTTCCTCAGCAACGTTGTGTAGTGCAGATGCTAACATCTAGTGGCTTTTAGTGTGCTGTTGGAGATGGGAGAGAGTGTGGCCTTGATAGAGGCAGGAGTCAGCATCTGATGGTGCTGCTGGAGTGCTGCATGTTCTTGAGCAACTGCTTCACAGGGAATGTGGTTCTCCTCTCCCACATTCAAAGCTGATCTGCATGTTCATCACTGGTCTGAATAAGAATGTGAGCAAAGCCAGTTTCTTAAGGTAGCAGGTGGTTTGTTTGCCAGACTTTGAAGCTGGGACTTGCTGGGGAGAATGTGCTGCTACTGGATTTAGTTTTAAAAAAAAACAACACCTGAACCTTTTGAAATTATCATCCTGTTCTGTAGGCACAACTTCCAGCTTATTTAAGTAGAACAGTCAGTAAAGCTCCCTCTTCAGCTTTTGTATGCCCATTTACTCACCTGGCTAAGCTGACTGTCTTCAACTGAAGGTAATGCTGGCTTAAAACAAATAGATTTAAAAGGATTGCAGGTACCCCAAATGTCCCAGCAGCATTGATTTCTCTTTCATTAAGCTCTGTTCATTTGAGATGTAGCAGCCATTATTTTGCTATAAGTTGACAGTCCATTGTGTGAAGGAATGGGAGATGCTTAAATGACTTCCTGTGGATGGGAGTGGCTTAAGGTGCCAAGTTGAGTGTAAAGGCTGCTAGTTGTGGCCTGTCAGGTCCTAATGATTCTCAGTGGCTGCTTTATTTAAGGAAAACTGAAAGATAAATGCAAACCCAGACTAGCTGATGACTGAATTGGCTTCCTGTTTGCTCTCAACTGCAGTCAATGACCGAGCACTTGTTTAGCTGCCCAAAAAGTCCCCTCTGGTACTGTAAGTTCCTCTGTTTTCACTGCCCTGCAGCCATGAGGAAACATGCCAGACAGTGCTGGATGCAGTTGACCTGATGTGTGGGGTCTTGGATGAGGAGACAAAATGTTG